AGGATGTCTGGTTCTAGGTGAGTGATCACACCATCGTGGTTGTCTGGGTCATGAAGATCTTTTTTGTACAGTTCTTCTGTGTATTCTTGCCACCTCTTCTTAATATCTTCTGCTTCTGTTAGGTCCATACCGTTTCTGCCCTTTATTGTGTCCATCTTTGCATGAAATGTTCCCTTGATGTCTCTAATTTCCTTGAAGAGATCTCTAGTCTTTCCATTCTATTGTTTTCCTCTATTTCTTTGCACTGATTACCTAGGAAGGCTTTCTTATCTCTCCTTGCTATTCTTTGGACCTCAGCATTCAGATGGATAGATCTTTCCTTTTCTCCTTGGCCTTTCGCTACTCTTTTTTCTCAACTATTTGTAAGGATTCCTCAGACAACCATTTTCCCTTTTTCCCTTCCTTTCTCTTGGGGATGGAATCAGCCATATATATATATATATATATATATATATATATATATATATATATATATCCTCTTTTTTGTATTTCTTTCCCATTTAAGTCACCACAGCGTGCTGAGTGGAGCTCCTTGTGTATCCAGTATGGTCTCACCAGTTACCTGTGTCACATATTCTTGTTTAGCTGCTAAGCTGTGTCCTACTCTTTGCAACTCCATGGACTATATCCCGCCAGGCTCCTCTGTCCATGGGATTTCCCAGGCAAGAATACTGGAGTGAGTTGCCATTTCCTTCTCCAGAGGATCTTCCCAACCCAGGAATCAAACCCACGTCTCCTGCATTAACAGGAAGATTCCTTATTGCGGAGCCACCAGGGAACCCCATTTCGCACATGGTAGGGTATATATGTCAATCCCGATCTCCCACTTTGTATCCCCACTTGGTATCCCCCCTTCAGGCTATGCCTCTTTGTCACTTCTCTTTAAGAAACACTGGCTAAGCAGATCATCAGAATGTCTTATCTCTGTGTCCCCTTGTGAGATCAGTTACACTGAGGTCAGAGACATAGCGAGGTGTATAAATTACCCAGTCTGCCCTGAGCAGGGTTTGATGGAGGTGGGGCCTTAAGTAATCTCCTACGATTTCTTAGTGTTACTGTCTCCATTTTTTCGAAGTGAGAAACTGAGCGTCAGTGAAGTTGAGAAGACGTGTCAGAAACCATGCAGCTAGTAACGTGACAGGAGCTGGATGCCTAACTATAAAACCGGTGTAAGTGGTTAAGCCAAGGAACCTTCATGAACTTTCACTTTCTGCTTTATATATTTCTATAATACTTGAGCTGTTAAACTCAATGTATGTTTTCTTCACAGTAGCTGCCCAACAACATCAAACGTTATTCTTTAAACACTAACCCCAAATAACTTTCCTTGGTCTGACTTCAACTTCCCCTAGCTACCTTCCTGAATATTTGGCTTCCCAGTATTCTTGCTTGGAGAACTCCATGGACAGAGGAGCTTGGCAGGCTATAATCCATGGGCTCACAAACAGTCTGACATAAGTGGGCAACTACTACTACTCACTCAGAGCTGGCTAGGGGCTTCCCAGGTGGCGCTAGTGGTAAAGAATCTCTCTGCCTGCCAATGCAAGAGACGTAAGAGAAGCAGGTTCAATCCCAGGGTCAGGAAGATCTCCTGGAGGAGGGCATGGCAACCCACTCCAGTATTTTTGCCTGGAGAGCCCATGGACAGAGGAACCTGGTGGGCTACAGTCCACAGGGCCACACAGAGTTGGACATGCCTGAAGTGACTTAGCACATACACAGGGCTGGCTAGCAGAGAGAGGGGCGTCACCAGCCAAGCTGACTGAACTGTGTTGTCCACCTAATTTTCTATTTCTTATTATAAATGAATGCAGCTCAACATATTTCTTTTTTCTCCTATCTCAACCCTCCCTATGGTCTAGCAAACAGAAAGGAGATTTATATAATGCATGCCAAAGCAGAGAAGAGACAGAAAGTCTTTTTTAGCACAATAACCCACAGGCCTTAGTTCTCTCTTGGCCATGTACACTTTGATTGTCCATGTCAGATAGCAATTAAAGGCTTCTTTTCTTCATCTATTGCTATGTTACTCAAATGATTTTCCCTTACAAGGGACAGAAAAATCCAACTCAAGCTGATTTAAGAATAAAAATCCAGGTGGATTTTATCAATTATTATAACTAAAAAATAAAATAAAATCTGAAGATTTCCGGCTTCAGGTATGGCTAGATCCAGGCATTCAATGCCATCAGACTTTTTCTGATTCTTTTCTCATCTTTCTTTTGTGCCACAGTGTGGTCCCGGTAACTAAGGGTTCTATCCTCTAGTTTGGAAAGAGAAACTTGTCAGTCATTCCAACAGAAGTCCCAGAATTGAATCTCGTTGCTTTGGCTTAGCTCACATGCTGAAGTCTGAACCCCTTCTTTTAGCCAGTGGGGTGAATATGCTGATTGGCCTACCCTGAATTACATCTCCTCCCAGCTCCGGCAGAGCTGCAAATCACACAGAATGAACACGGAGAGCAGGAGTTACCCAAAAGAAAGACAGGCCTCTGTAGAAGCAGAAATGGATGTTGGGCCTGGGGAGGAAGCATGCTAGATCTGAGCCACCCTTCAGCTTGATCTGGGGGAGAGCAGAGTAGAAAGAAATAACTGTCACATTGAAGGTGGAGGAGGGGAAACGTGATGACAGGGGGTACAGTGGAGAAGTGGATTTCAGAGACAGAGGGCCCGGGGGGCCTGAGGCAGGAGAGCAGAGCCTGCCCCTTGGAATAGGGACAGCACTGGTTCAGAGGAGCTGGACCCTGTGGACCTCAGCAGGTGACAGGAGCAGCGAAGGAGGGCCAGGCTCATGCTTCTGGATTCAGCGTGGCCTCGGAGAGAGTACTTTGAAGAAGTGGATTGTGTCACCCCACTCTCTGATATCCAGGGCGAGGCAACAGAATCACACTTTTTTTTTTCTTAGACTTTAACTTTTTTGTTATAGTTGGTTTACAATGTCTTGTTAGTTCCTGTTGTATAGCAAAGTGATACGGTTATACATATATATAAAGTTTGTGTTGTTTGCTTTTGAATTGTGGTGCTGGAGAAGACTTTTGAGAGTCCCTTGGACAACAAGGAGATCAAACTAGTCAATCCTAAAAGCCATCAACCCTGAATAGTCATTAGAAGGTCTGATGCTGAAGCTGAAGCTCCAATACTTTGGCCACCTGATGCGAAGAGATGACTCACTGGAAAATACCCTGATGCTGGGAAAGGTTGAAGGCAAAAGGAGGAGAGGGAGGCAGAGAATGAGATGGTTAGATAGTATCACCAACTCAATGGACATGAGTTTGAGCAAACTCTGGGAGACAGTGCAGGACAAGCGAGCCTGGCGTGCTGCAGTCCACGGGGTCACAGAGTCAGACACGACTTAGTGAATGAACAACGAAACAACTTGCTTGTTTTTACCGCACCAAGTGGCATGTGGGATCTTCATTCCCCAACCAGGGATCAAACCAGCGCCCCCTGCGTTGGGAGGATGGAATTTTAACCACTGGACCACCAGGGAAGTCCCGGGAATCACGATTTCTTAACCGCCACGCAGTGTGTCTGTCAGTCCCACATGAGTCCTGTTAACTGGAGTCAGCTGCCTAAAGGCCAGTTGCCGCCACACCAACAGACGAGACCGAGTTCCTGGACCCAAGAAGCTGGGACCCCGACCTTGGGCACTGGTAGATCCCCGGGGTCCTGGCCCCACGGAAGGCCCCTTGGCAAGCGGCCAGCAGGTCTGCCCTGACCACACCCCGCCTTTGCTTCCAGGCCTCAGCAGCGCCGTCCTTCCAGGGCCGTGCCAAGATGCAGGGCGATCAGAGGTGAGGACTCTGTCACGAGGCTCGGCTCCAAGGAGGCCCAAATAAACATCAGCCGTTCGTGTGACTCCTGGGTCTGCAGTGTGTCTGCACACAACAAACACACCTATTGTTCCGTCCGTGACGTGCATGGCTCGGGAATCAGGAACAGTTAACACAACTACCGTGACTGTGAGGGAATGGATGGCTGTGACAGGTGGTAAACACCGCTGAGCTGTTGGGGTTTTACTGGGCTTGGCTGGGCTTTCTCCCCCTGACACTCAGAATCCTTTTCCCACCACTTCTCTCTTCTTCACAAGGCGGCCTGCTTGCAAATGGCCTCAAAGTGCAAACTTTTTCCCACTGATCCTGACATCCAAAACCTTTCATGGAGATCCACCCATGGCAGTGTTTCTCCAAGTGGGGTCCCCCCAATCCACCTGGGTTAGAATCATGATGACGTTTATAAATGGGGCAAATTCTGAGATTTCCATCCGGACCTTGCTGAATCTCAATCTCTGGGTCTGGGGACCTGGAAACTTGTATTTTGAAAGGTTCCTGGGAGGACCTCCCTCCCATTGGCTAAGAATCTGCCTTCCACTGCAGCGGACTCAGGTTCAGTACCCAGTTGGGGAACTAAGATCCTACATGTTGTGGGGCAACTAAACCCAAGCACTGCAACTGGAGAGAAAACCCACACACCACAACCGAGACCTGATGCTGTTCAGTCAAGAAGTTGTGTGTCTGCCTCTTTTGTGACCCCATGGACTGTGGCCCACCAGACTCCCATCCATGGGATTTCCAGGCAAGAATACTGGAGTGGGTTGCCATTTCCTTCTCCAGGGGATATTCCTGACCCAGGGATCAAACCCGCGTCTCCTGCATGGCAGGGGGATTCTTTACTGCTGAACCACCATGCAAGTCCAAGACCTGACATAGCCCTAAATAAAAAAATTATTTTTTTAAAGAGATTCTGGGATGGGGTGGTGGTGGTGGTGATTCTAACATATCCTGAAGCTCACAAGTCGCAGTCCTGCGGGCACTCGTGACGCACCAGCCCCAACAGGAAAATCCTGATTCCCGCACTGGCTCTCCCTGCCCCGGTGGCCTTTCTATCAGGCAATTCAAAGTCTCCAGCCAGAGAGTTACTGATTAACCCTAGGTTTCAAGAAAAGAAATAATAATAACTGAAGGGACAATGTGAGCCAAGAAACAAGCTGAGCAGCCCTGGGAGAGTGGTGGCAGACAGCTGAAGACGAGAAGGAGGCGGAGGAGGCTCCAGCCACCCAGCCTGCGGCCAGACGGCCTTCGGGTCCTAGCAACACCCACTGATTTCTGCCTGTCGATGCCCAGGCCGTGAGCTGCCCCGTCCTGGGGGCTCCGGTGCCGAGAATGGCCTGCCCCGAGATACCGCAGCAGCCCCAGCCAGTCTGCCAAGAAGCCACCCCCTCCGACCCCGCGGGCCGCGCTGGAGGTCCTGGGGGCCCCACGGAGGGCGACCTGGAGTGCCTGGTGTGCCGGGAGCCCTACAGCAGTGCCCGGCCGCCCAAGCTGCTGGGCTGCCAGCACGCCTTCTGCGCCGTCTGCCTGAAGCTGCTGCTCTGCGTGCAGGACGACGCCTGGTCCGTCCCCTGCCCGCTGTGCCGCAAGGTCACGGCCGTCCCCGGGGGCCTCGTCTGCACCCTGCGCGACCAGGAGAGCGTGCTGGCGCGGCTGGCCCGGCCGGGCCTGGAGGTGCCGCTCCGTCCGCAGGGCCTGGCGAACCCTGCCGCCCTGACGGCAGGGCGGCCCAGCGCGGCCGCAGAGGAGGAGCAGGACGCGGTGAGCGCCAACCGCGCGGCGGCTCGGCGCCTGGCGGCGCACCTGCTCCTGCTGGTCCTGCTCATCGTCCTCATCCTGCCCTTCATCTACCCCGGCGTCATCCGGTGGGTGCTCAGCTTCCTCGTCACCCTGGCGCTGCTGCTGGCTCTGCTTTTCTGCTCCCACCCGGGCCACCGCGGCGGCCGCGGGCCGTCCCCCAGGACTCTTTTCTGCAGGGAGCAGAAACCCAGCGAGATCGCCTCCATCGCCTGAGCGAGCTCCGACCGGGCGGAGCCGGGTCCCTTCTGCCTCTGCAGCTTACCATCACGGTGAACAGAGGAAGCGGTTTGCAGCCGACCTGCTCCCTTGGGAGAGTAAATGCCGGCTGGACTTGCCAGCCAACGCCAGAACGGCTGTCTTGGGTCAAGAACTGTGCTTTTGGACAATAGACTAACGCTTGCCACGGGTATAGCATAGCTATTAATAAACTCTTTGGGGATGGGGAAGAAACTACTTGACCGCGACAAAGGAAGGGGGTCTCCTGTTCCTTTTAGTCCAATGCCCCTGACTTTTCTTTCTATATCTGGATGAAAAGTATTGAAATATTAATGGTATTGTATAACAAATAGAACTGGAACTCCTTTTTTGTTTTCAATTCCCCCCCCCCCCCCACTTCTTTCTTTTGGTTTGATTTAGTGTGTTTGGGTAGCTAGCATCTGTTTCTGGCTGTGACATATTTTCCCTCCTGGGAAGTCAGAGCCTACGGGAAGTCCTCCTGTGCTCTCGCTGATGCTGTCTGATGCCCATCTCGCCTCTCCAAAGGTCCTGGTGGCTCAGGTCTCCCACTGGCCTGCTCCCAGGGACAGACAGGGAGAAATTGTGCACAGGAGTGGCTCTCCTGCTGCGGCAGGGGCATGCCCACATTTGGCTGGCAGAGTTGGGGGGGAGTGGAGAGGACCCCCCAGTGGATCTGGGAATTGCTCCCAGCAGCTCCACCAGGATTTCTCAGCTGCGTGTCATCAGGCCCTAACTTAACAGAGAATCTCAGGGTTACAAGGACCCCCCTCCAATGGTGGGTCCAGCTGCCCACCTGAGGCACACAACCCCACACTCTTCAACCAAATCTTTATGGTTGTTGTTTTCTTTCTTATTGCATCCCGATGCCCAGTTGGGATTTTGCCGTAAAGATAAGAGGCCCTATAAATGCAACAGTCCTCTCAAATAACCCCATCTTTCCCACCTCGCCTGGGGAGTCACAGTCATCTGAAAGACTCTCACGTCTTCTCTTGACCATTTCTGCTCCATAAAAGAGAGGAGACTTCTGCTGGAGGGAATGACCTTCCACGGTTTCCGGAGTCAGGCACCAGCCAGGGGGTGCAGGGTGGTGAAAAATGGGAAATGTCACATGATATCCTTCCAAAGACCCCATAGTTGAGAGGCAGACTTGAAATCTCAGAGGGGCTCGTTGGGTCCAATCCATCATCCCTCCCAGGTCCCCTTTCCTGACAGTTATTGTGTGTGTGTTGTTGTTGAACTGGGCCTTCTGGTTCTCTGAGCTTCATTTCCCCCAAAATGAGCTAGTAGGACTGGATGATGCCTAAGTCTCCTAAAACCCAGAAACTGAGGGCACTGCTGGGCTCCCGAACAATGAACAAGGGTCATAGCCCCTATGGAGTCACATACAGAAAAGTCAGGGTATAAGTCTGTATGCAATTAGCTCTTTCAATCTGCAAACAAAATCTTCCTTTTTTCTTATAAGGTGCTTTCAGGGCAACTCTGTGACACCCACGCTATAGGCCTTGTGAACTCCAGGTACTGGGAAGGAGCATGAGTGACGGTGTGTGGGTGTCCCCATCCTTTTAAGCCAAGGCCAAGTGGGCCTGGAGAACACCTTGTCTCCCCAGGATGATAAATGAGAAGAATTGTTTGGCATTTCCAGAACTGGCCTGGGGCATGTGCAGTTTGGGAGGGTAGCCAGTAGGTTAGGGAAGGAACGTTCTTTCCTCATTCACCTCTACTCCCATTCCACCTTGTTCTTGGACCCTCCACCAAGGTTTCCATTGCTAATAACAGCACCATTTCTACCAAAGTAACGGTGGGCTCATGTTTACTGAGTGCTTACCATGTGCCAAACACTACATTAGCTGCTCTGTGTCCATTATCTAGTTGAATCTTCATAACAACTTTATGAAGAAGAGAAGCCTGAGGATCAGAGAGGTCAATTCATCTGCCTGAGGTTGCTCAGCCAGCCACTGCCAGAGCTCCCTAGGAGATTAACTCGCGTTCTTTCTGCTCCAGTATACTGCCTCCTTTGCCTGCGGTTCCAAAGCAACCAGGAAGCTGGTCACTGCTAGTGGGTTTGCGGGGCAGCATAGGAAACTAACCTCTGGAGTCTTCAAACTCCAGCAGTCAGGTCCTCAGAGAGGTCAGAGAACTCTAGCATCTATTGTCTATGCGCAAGAGAAAGGACAGAAAACGATCATCAGTGATGGCCTTCCTCACTCTTGCCGCCCGGTGCCAGCCTCCTCTGAGGGGAGCCGTGTTGGCACACAGCCCCCACCAGCGTGCCCTCTGTCCTGACATTTCTGTCCCTTTGTCCTGAAGCCCACCTTGAGTACCTCTTGGTTCCTGGCAGTGTTGGGAGAGAGGGCACCGGAAGCTAATGTCAGCCCAGGCTACTTCGGAGAGAAACAGAGGAGACAGGCGGTGCTGCAAAAGGATGTGAGTGGAGGAAACCAGAGAGGCGGGCCAGGGCTCAAAGCCAGGCTCAGACCAGTGTGCGGCCAGCCAGACTCACAGAACTCTTCTGAGCCGCGCTTTGCTGTGAAGTAGGGCCGGGTGCCACCCACTGGCCAGGGGCTCCTGGGCATTCAGACTGCTGCTGGAGGGACTTCCGTGGTGGCCCAGCGGTCTGCATTCCCAGGGCCAGGGGCTTCCGTGGTGGCCCGGCGGTCTGCATTCCCAGGGCCAGGGGCTTCCGTGGTGGCCCAGCGGTCTGCATTCCCAGGGCCAGGGGCTTCCGTGGTGGCCCGGCGGTCTGCATTCCCAGGGCCAGGGGCTTCCGTGGTGGCCCAGCGGTCTGCATTCCCAGGGCCAGGGGCTTCCGTGGTGGCCCGGCGGTCTGCATTCCCAGTGCCAGGGGCCTGGCTTCGTTCCCTCGTCAGGGAGCTAATACCCACAATGCCTCAAATAAGAGTCCGCATGCCTCAACTAAGATCTGGTGCGGCCAAATAAATAAACAAATGTTTTTTTTAAAAAAGACCCAAAAAACAAAATGCTTGTGATGGCCTGGATGGGAGGGGAGCTTGGGGGAGAATGGATACACACACATGTATGGCTGCATACCTTTGCTGTTCATCTGAAACTATCACAACATTGTAGTTTTGTTTTGTTTTTTTCTTAAGAGCTACTGAATGAGAATCCCATGTCCTAACAGGCTGGCTTTCTCATCACTCTAGTGGGGCCTGTTCAGTGTGTCAGAGGGCAGGGGCCCAGCCTTGGTAACGGGGTGGAGAAGCTCATCCAGGGTAGGAGCACTGTAAAGAACAGGCCAATCTGGTGGCCAGCTTTATGCTTAGGTCCTCAGGATGGACAGGAATTTCAGAGAGAGGACAAATTCCAACCCCTTCAGCCCTGTCTCCCTATTCTGTGGCCTTAAAGTCAGACATAACCTGGCTTGAATTGTAGCTTTCTCACTCAGAAGTCACCACATCTCGCTGCATCTCAGATTCCTAATCCATGAAACAGGTTTCATAGAGTTGTCTGGGAATTATTTAAAAAAAAAAAATCCAAGTTTGAGCATTTAGGATTATAAGGAAGTAAAGAAGAAAGAGAGAAGACAAGGAGAGATGGATTGAGTTCTAGAAAGCCCTAACAGAAATGATGAGTGCAGACTCTTTATTTTATTCAATCTTATTAATGAGGACATGGATTAAAACCTGGACACTAGAGACCTCCCTGGTGGTGCAGTGGCTGAGACTCCACATTCCCAGTGCAGGGAACCTGGGTTCAATCCCTGGTCAAGGAATTGGACCCCATGTGCTGCAACTGAGACCTGGCTGCTATACACAATAAATAAATATTTAAAAAAAAAAAACCTGAACACTAGAATTTACCTCCTCCATTGACCAGCCTCAACATCAGCAATGTCTTCAGTAATATAAGAAAACAATCACCCCTAACATGGTCTGTATGCACTGAGTGAAGTGTATTACATATGATATCACATCTGCTATAAGATTCAGTTCCGTTCATTAGGTCAGTCGTCTCCAGCTCTTTGCGACCCCATGGATTGCAACATGCCAGGCTTCCCTGTCCATCACCAACTCCCGGAGCTTACACAAACCCATGTCCATCAAGTCGGTGATGCCATCTAACCATCTTATCCTCTGTCATCCCCTTCTCCTCCTGCCCTTAATCTTTCCCAGCATCAGGGTCTCTTCCAATGAGTTGGCTCTTTGCATCAGTTGGCCAAAGTACTGAAGCTTCAGCTTCAGCATCAGTCCTTCCAATGAATATTCAGGACTAATTTCCTTTATGATTGACTGATTTGATCTCCTTGCAGTCCAAGGGGCTCTCAAGAGTCTTCTCCAGCACCACAATTCAAAAGCATCAATTCTTCAGCGCTCTGCTATAAGGTAGGTGCTAGTATTAATTAACTCCAAGTTACCAATGGGGTGCTGAGGCACAGAGAGGTTAAGTAACTTGCTCAAGATCACACAGTAATGTGGTGGTGGAGCCAAGAGCAGACAGCAGAAGTCCAATTCCAGAGTTTAGACTTTGAGTCACTGTACTGTATCAGATGAAGCACTCCTGGCACGTTGTAAGCACAACAAGGTATGTGAGCCCATGGCCTGAAGGGTGAAAATTAAGAGGTGGCATTCCCCCTTTGGCTGGGGGACACAGGGGATGCCAGGGGTAGAAGCTTGTGGAAGGTCACCTGTCCCATGACCTACAGCTGGGTTCTCATCTCAGCCTGCAGCACCTGCTCATCATTGGAAGCTCTTTCAAATGACTGGAGGGAGCGCTGCAGTCTTTCCTGGAACAATGAATTCTTTGCAGCAGTGGAAAATATTTCCAGGAATGAAGGACCTTCCTGCAATCTCTCAGGCTACGGGAAGAGCACCGAGCACATTCAAGGAGTAATTAGAGCTGAGCTCCTGAATCTGCCTGGAGCTGTTCACACAAACTTTATATTCTTGCCTGAGAACCTTGAAGTCACTTTCTTAAAGGAGACTATTTCTTGAGTCAGTAGGGAACTCTGAGAATTCAGGACACCACGGAATCAAAGATCCGTCGGTGCATTTACGCAACAAATATTTATTGAAGGTCTGCTCTGTGCCAGGTACTGAACAAGATATTTAATCTTATTTGATAAGAAACTTTGATGAAAAAGGGAAACTAATGGGTACAAAGTTGAATTGTGTCTCCCTTCTCCCCCAAAATATATGTTGAAACACTAATCTCCACTACTTATTTATTTTTTGCTTTTCTAATAAGGTAAGTTTTATTGGAGTATAGTTGCTTTACAATGCTGTGTTAGTTTCTACTACATAGGAAAACAAATCAGATATATATATATATCCCCCAAAGGAAAGTTACATGGCTCAAAATAGCCTGGAATTAAAACTC